GGCGGCCAAAGCAGACGTCTCTCCTCTGGCACTGCGTGGGTTGTGACTCGACTTCGACTCGATTGATTTTCGTTGGTATCCACTACTAGAGGCCTGACTTCTCTGTATTTTCTCATTTCTTTGGACTAGTTCTTGCAGGAATTTTCGGAATCTAACGACCGACCAGAATTCCTGGTACTTTTTTTGTTGGTAGACTTTGTCCAATATCCAAACTGGCAATCTACTTTCGATAATAATTTCAATGCTTGAATGCTCCAAACACTCACCCATTGCTTCAAAGTTGTCAAAGTATTCTTTCCATAGTTTCGATAGTTGTTTTCTACTCTCATTGTACAACTTCTTTATGGTACATGAGTTTCCAAACTTCTCGACCAAAACTTTTCTTATGACGTCGTAGTTTCCTGGCGTAATATCATAGCCTTTGACAGCTTGTAGGGCGTTTCTAATATCATAGCCTTTGACAGCTTGTAGGGCGTTTCCTTTGAGACATGAGATCAAATAATTTAATTTTTGAATATCGGGTATTTTTTGGAGATGTACCGCTGCATCAAAACTACCCCGGAATTTTCTCCATAATTTCGGGTCACCACTGAATGTTAGTAGTGGTAACTGTGGCAAATTTACTGTCTGACGAGACATTTGAGAGGGGCCCCTTTGTTTGAATGGTTCGATATTTATCTTGCATTGTTGTAAGCGCTGTGCCATTAGCTCAAACTCATCTTTGTACATATCTAAAGTTATAATAGCTTCTTGACCGATCATTTATTAAATTTAAAAGACTTTTATTATCGTCGACCATATCTGCGTATTTGTCTTTCTTTTCTGCGCATTCTTTTGTTTCTGGATATACTCCAACCACTTTTCGTTGATTAATCCGAATGTACCATAGAGTTTCAGACGCCTTATTTTTTCTTCTACAGTCTTCTTGAGTTCAAATGGCTGCTGCTTTTCATCCACCGATAAATGTTGATCAGGAGGCGTCAAGTTCACCGCTTTTATTTCGTCGAGAAGATCCTCCAACTTCTGCTTTGCCGGTTGAGCACTTTTGGTCATAGTGTCCGACATTCCCAGCTCGTGGCACCAATTTTTATCGCCGAATTTCTCAATCTCAAACTTGGGTAATAAAACCCTTATTCCTCAAAACCCGGCAATAAACGAATTCAACGACCACAATTAGTAAGACAAATTCAACGACAATATAAATAGGAACAAAAGAGGAAACCATAGACCGAATGAAGTCCGATATCCTCTAACCCACCGACCAGTTGAAATGCTCTTTTTAAAACGATTTGGCGCTCAAGACCTTCTTTTCATTGCTGCAATTTCGCGTTACGATTTTCGGAGTTTTTCTGACAGTTCCTGCTTTAGGACACTCTACGCTGTCGCCATTGCAGCTGTAACTAATGCTTTAGGTATCAGTGTTTTTGTTATTGTTCTATACAGTTCTATACAGACTAAATAAGCCGTTTGTAAAACAAAAAAAAACAGTACTTCTCATCTGTAGTGAAATACAACGTATTCACTCTTTAGCTTCGATTAAAAAAAGAAAACAGATGCGCCAATTTTTATGGTTGTTTATAGATCCGTACAAAATATAATTTATTTTAATTCGTAGAAAGTAATTTCGGCGTGATAAACATGTGCACACAACGATGCGTGGCGATAAAATCAGACACACACACACACATACACACACACACACATACACACATACACACAACAGCGACGAAAAGTACAGACAATCTGACGGTAACAATTCATCCACTTTTATATGGTACCTAGAAATCGAAACGCAAAAACGCCAGAAATAACCGTTGGAAATGACAATGTAAAATAATCCTGCATGTTAAAGCAGTAAATTTCAATAATAATCCATTACAGCATCCTTGTAAATTCACTATTACCAGCAGAATCCCTCTGGAGCTACTCATTTTAACCCGTAAACGTGACAGGCCTTCATGACAGGATATAATAAATCACCTATCAAATTACCAGAACGACAAAGAAAACGATTATATCATTGAAAATAAGCATTGTTTTGTTATTTTCGTGCGACATGCAAGTATATTTCACCTCCAGAATGCCTATACCACTGGAAACAATTCGCAAAAGTAAAGCCTCATAATGAGTAAGCCATTTCTGTGATGTCTCTTGCAATAGCCTTTCCGGATTCATCTACCACGGCATCTTTAATTCGGTTCATTATCCCAATGATATCTCGTCCTTTAGCCAACTAAAATTGCTTGCAAGGATGAAGTTCGGAAAACAATAAGGGAATTCAAACATAGGACGAATGAAAACGTTTACTAACCTGAATAACAGCAACATCGCCCCACATTAGAGTTACGATTGCTTGAAGAAGTCGTATTAAAGCTACTTGATTAAAATCACCAAAACTAGCGATATTTTCGATAGCCTAAACAATGCAATATTTTTTTCATTCTTATTCAATACCAAATAGACTTCTTGCAATATGAACCAAGAAAAATAATGCAGGAAGCACAAAGAAAATTCCCAAGATAATATTTAACTTTTTTTCCAACAAAGTAACTCCTTACTATTCTTGTGCATAAGAAAGACTGAAATGGAAACCATAAAATTGCAAGCTTGAATTATTAAGGAAACAACTGAAAGCATTTTATACGAGACCTGAATAATAGCTCGCAAAGCATCTTCTCGTGGACCAAGCTCGGTTACCTTACCAGATTCTGTATGGCGCAATAAAATTAACGCCCAGTTAGCTAATGCTGTTGTTGCGGCAAGCTGGAAATCAAATTTTTCACATTAATAAAATCGAAAGCACTGATTAATAGTTGGCACTATCACCAATTTCATTATTCGAAATGAAACTTCAGAAATAACAGCATAAAGAAGTTAAGACTGCGGTGAGAAAGTAGAAAAGAACAGTTGTTATAAACTTAATAAAAGATTTAAACATACTTGCAAAGCATGCTTCGCACTATTCAGCTGCGCTGCAACGCACTTGACCGTCGTGTTAACATCATGGATGAGCATTGAACGACCCCACTGATGCATAGCAGCATTGGCCATGGCTCGACATGCCAAAATACGGATTGGATCAGAATCAGCACTTATCTATAAATTTCAACAGTAAGAACAAAAAATATAATTAAAAATTCCTTGAATACATCAAAGACTTCTCAAAATTTGTTCCGAAAAAAAGAGAAATTTGAGTTTGAAAGCATCGAAAGTGTGCAGTCATAACTTTAGGTATAACACTAATCTGCACGACTAAGTACAAATGTGGAAGATGTGGTCAAGCTGCACAAATGCATGTAAAATGTTAATATTGCAAATACGACAGGTTTATATATTTCCACCTCCTTGATGAAATTCTTTTTTCTCATAATTTTAGAAACTTACTAAAAAATTAGTCAACCGTTGCATTGTTTCCAAACCTTTGGCCGACTTTTCACCTTCTATATCCAAAGAACAATAAATTCTATTCAGGGTACGATTCAAAAGTGCTAAGCGGAATACATCCATTATAGGAATAATTGTATCTGAAATCAATTTCATCATAAATATTATAAGCGAATATTTGTCGAAAGAACTTGCTAAATTCAGTGGATTAAATGGAACTATAATAACACAACCGAATTCAGCAGGAAAGAATTAAATGAAATATCGAATGAATGTACAAGTTTTAGCTCGACTGAGACTCCTCATAAGACGCTGGATCAAATTATCTCACAGAATCATAAAAAGCATGTCAAGAAACATATACTATGCAATGAACTGATAAACAACTGAAAATCATCCTTCTTTCGGAGCGCCAGACGAAATAACGTTGTTTTTTTATGGTTTTTCTCAAACTACGACCCATTACGTAACAAATTTAAGGGACCACAAGTTCAAGTCCACTTACAAGTTTCTAAAAGTTCGTTTGAAAAATAACAGAATTAATGCAGTTACGAACCCATATTCCATCCAAAACCTGTATTAATTGCAGAAACATGAATATCTCGTGGATCATAAGTTGAAGTTTTTAAAATATCTTCTAGAGCATGCAACTGAAATGAGAGCAATTAACCGAATAACAGAGAGCAATCTTAGAAGAGAACTAAAGCATTTTAAACATATATATATATATATATATATATATATATATATATATATATATATATATATATATATATATATATATTATTATTATT